AGCGCCGAGCCCATGGGTGCTGTTTTCTGAACCGACGGGACCCTCCCCTGCCTGTCACCCTTGAAACATGCAGCTGAGTTTTCCCAAACGCAGGTGTCTGGCTGAAATCGAAGCGTTGGCGTCATCCCCGCGTGGTCCTTCTGCATCCCCCCGTGCCTGCGGACTGATTCCTCTGGCTCGCTGGCTCTGTGCCATAGCCGTCAGGCTGGAAATCCCCGTGGTGCCACCACGCATAGGGCCCAGCACCCTGCACAGGATCCTTCTGCTGCCCGCTCTCCTGCTCTGCTGCCTGCTCTTCCTGCCTGCACAGGGCCACAGAGCAATCACAGGCTGGGGAGCGTGCACATGACATAAGGAGCCGTGGCTCCCCAAAACCAGTCCCGCTCTCCAGATCCAGGATTGCACCCGCTGGTAGTGAACTTACTGAACCCACCCGCTGGACAGGAGCACCGAGCCGATGGGAAGTGCCCTCTCCTGGCCTTGCGTTCACCGCTGCAGCCTGTTACAACTCATCACCATCCTGCGATTAATTAACGGCTCCTGGAGCATCTGTCCCCGCTCCAGCATCGCTCTCTGCAGAGCGGACTATAGCTTTCGAGCCACCCCGGGGAGGACCGGGATCTCCCTTCCCCTCAGCTGGTATCTGCAGCCTCATCCTCACCCCCACGCCCTGCCGCAGGGCAGAGCACCCCATCGCTGCTCGAGGGCTCCTGTCCCACGACTGTCCCCCTGTGCTGGAGATGTGGGGCGGCATCCGTCACCACCGTGTCCCTTTCAAAGGGGAGATGGGGACCAGCCCTGGCGAGGCGAAAGGGGCCCAGCGGGGATGCCCACCCGGCCCGAGCCCCCCACTCCTCCCTGCACACTCCAGATACGATCTGCCCCTCCTGCCCCAGGAGGGGGATCCCCCGCTTTCGGCATCTTGCAGAACTGCCAGGACTTCAAACCAGAAGCATTTCTGCACACTCCAGACTTAACAGGAGCGTGATCTTGGAAGAGGGGTCCCCGACCGATAAAACCGCTCCCAGCATCTTGCCAAACGGCCAAGATTTCACGCCTGGAGCGTTTCTATAAAGCCTCCCCCACCCCCCCCCGGATTTTGCAGGAGGGCAACCACCAAGGACAGGGGTAGACACGTGGCGGTACAGGCACGACTGCCCTACCCGCCTCCCGCACAGGGACAGGCCCGCAGTCTCCCGGACACAGGACCAGCAGCCAGGCGGTACAGGAGATAACTTTATTGAATCCAATGGTGTTAGACAGACGACCGAGAAGAGACATGCCGGTTGGTGCGGGCAGCGTGGGCAGCAGGAGCTGACTTGGTGCAGGGCTGGATTTGTTTCTGTCTTTTGTAATATCCTCAAGCCTTTTCCTGGCTTCCTTTTATACTTCTTTTAAAATTTCTTTTAAGTAAAAACAACTAATCGTGGAAAGAGTCCAGATGATGTTTGTTCCCTATGATTGTTCCCGCAGCTATGTACAACGTGGGGTTGGGTCTCAACATCAGGTATAAAATGGAGCGAGTTTACAAACTTGGAGGAGGCAAGGAAAAAGCAAAGACAGACAGGCGAGAGCAGTAGAAATCTGGACCAAAATCTTAAAGAGAAATTTAAAAAGTGCTATAAAACCCCTCGGCAGGAATACCATGCAGTTAAGAAACACAAAACCCAGTCAATTACACAGATCATCTAAAACAGGAATTTCGTCTTTTATTTAATTAAAAAAAGGTTGTTTGTTTTTAATAGAAAAAAGCTAAAATTGTAAGGTTCAGGCCACCGGGCGGCAGCAGCTCGAGGAGGCAGGAGGGTGAGGCGCTGGCATCTCCCAGCTCCAGCCCCTCGAATGGGCTCCTGGCGCTCCCAGGGTCCACGGGCACCTCTGGGGGCAACCGGCACCTTTGGAGGTGGCAGGTACCCCTGGGGGTGACAGGCACCCCTGGGGGGTGACAGGCACCCTTGGGGGCAGCAGGCACCTTCGGGGGTGACAGGCACCCTTGGGGGTGGCAGGGGGATGAGTTAGTGCAATCCTTGGACCCGTCCCCCGGGGGAGGGAGGGGCTCAGCCCACAGACACTGGCAGCCCTGGGGGACGCTCGGTCCCCGGGCCCCCCAAGACAGCTGCCACGCTTGGGGACACGGGGTGCTTGGCGTAACCCAGGGGGAACCCATCAGGGCCCGTCCCCTCCAGCCAGGTAAGACCAGCGAAAGCCCCCCACCATGTACCACCCCGGGGTACGCCAGCTGGCATGGCCCTCGCCCTTCCCATCGCCCTCAGGGATTCCTCCTGATTTACACCACAGTGTGCCACTGCCCTCCAGCAC